TATAAAGTTGTGTTTTTATAATAGTACATACACATGCTTAGTGAAATGGTCAACTGTTAAGTTATGTAAGCTAGGTGAACAATCAGGCCAACATGGATCTCTTGTCATATACCTCTCATTATGAATGTAGCAATTTGGCATTGTCCATCTGTCTTAGCCATTAACCTTTGCTTGTTTAGTGCATAAAACCTTAGAGTGATTTTGATAAAATTTTACCCAGATATGAGGTGTCTGATCACTGACATCTCACCTCTGTCTATGTGGGTTCAAGTCTCAGAATCAGCCAACATCGATAGTTTAGAAAGCGCTCTAGTAGATTCCCATGGGTCTTTGGTTCTTCCTGCAGTTTTCATCATGTTCTTCCTTCACCAGATATACTGACTTCCATGTATCATGTGGTGAAACATAGAATTAAAAACCCACAACACCTAGATATTTACAATTGCTCAAAGATAAAGATTGTAGCTAGGTCCATGGAATATTTTTGCCCGTTTCTATGTCTAGGCCATGATGTTTGAACTGATGGAAATTCTTTGATAAGACCTTTTCTTCCATCTGCTTTTTGAGGAGATGAAAAATTATCCATAATCACAATCAAGGGCTAATGCTGCATGATTTCTAACATGTTTTACCAACATGAAAGAAAGGACCTAGACCTGAATAAAAAAGTTTGTCAGTTTTGCTTTGTCCTGATTACTTAGTAGTCATCCAGGTAAAATTAGTGAAATTCAGGTCTTATTAATCAACCAAACTATTATCCGTTCTGTGTCAATAGTTTCATTGCTGCCACAATTTCCTTTTGTTTCATTGCTAACAACACATAGTCACTAATACGAAATATATTTCATTTTTAAACCATGAACTTCATTGCACTCTTCCTACCAAGGGCGTCTTTGTCCCCAAGCACTGAAGTGGTACCTGAAAGTTGTTGAGCATATCAGAAGAGAAAGAGATCTCACTTGTTCTGAACACTGAAAGTTGAAAGGAATGATATAACTACTCAGCCTTTTCATCTCAGACTTGTTGTTTTCAAACCCAAGACCACACAAATTTCATAAACAAATCAGCTCACGAGGCATTCACCACCAATGTAGCATTCGAGTGAAACTTCAAGGATTTCAAGCTGTGGTACCTTTCAAAGTCTAATAAATTCACTAGCTTTTATTTGTGAGTAACCCTGACCCTAACCCTTTTCATCCCAGATAACTCTATTAGATCTATCAGCAGTACAATAATACCTTCCCAGCAGCTGTATAATGGCATGGGATAATCAACTTGCCAAAGCAATTTTTTCTCAAGATGCATCTATTCATTGGACTTACCCTAACCCATATCTTGTGTGGGATTTGAAGTTCTTACATATATTTTAGAAGACAGGGGTTATGGGATATAACTCCTTCAGCCTCTCACCTATTATCCTAACAATTTACAATTATATAATGTATTTGAAGCAGAAAGCAAGTTACAGACTAACAAATGTTTCATTGATAATACTTTACCTAATCATAATACAAAAAGGTGCATTTCCACTCCAGATGACTGGATTTGTGTTCAGTCCTTCTCTCATCTGCCTTCCATCTCTGCAGGCAGCTACATTTTAGCATTTTTATTGTTAATGCAAGACACAGTACATGGTTAGCACTTTTTTTTGCATGTACAATTCATGATTATTTGAATTTTCTTTAACTTGCCTTACTGAAGGCCATTTGTTGTGGCTTTGTGTCCATCTATTTTTTATGTATCCATTAATAATTAGCTATATTTGATATCTTTCCCAAACTGCCCATCCAGTTTATATTGAACGTAGTAGTACTGTAGTATTTCTTAAGACATGCTCTACTAAATTTATTTATGTTTTCTTCTTAGTTTTGGTGTGGCTCCCAAAGCTACCATGTGAAATATTTTTCCCAAATTTTTTCTCAAATACCGTCTTGCTAATTATCATAGAAAAGTATTGAAATAATTTAATTGGGTTCTTCTCAAAATCTATTGGATCCTTCCATTTTGCAACATTGTGGATTCACTATCAACTGTCTTGAAGTAAGATGAGTATTCAAACTGTTTTTTGAACAACAGCAAGAATTGATGAAGTCTGTTTCATTAAAACCAACATGAGACCCAGGGAAGGCACTTTTAAAGTGGGGTACTCACCTGTTGATGCAATTCAGAATTTTGTTATCATTTTAATATGAACTGTGAATCAAAGGACCCTGGCGTATGTTTTTAAAAAAAACTGAAACAATCCTGCCATTCACTGTGTTTATTATGCTTCACTGAATGGGCTTTCAGTAGTTATCACCAAGTCTGGAAATTTTTCTTTAATCAGTTTATTAAAATGATCAGCTGTTAGGAATGGTGAAATTATGCTCTGCTAGAAAGATTCCAGACAAACTCTGCAAGTATCTCATTATCCACTTTTGACCCAGTTTCAAATAAGGCCTTCAGACTTGGTGTGTCTATTACAGAAGAATAATTGCTGAATTTGTAATATTTTTAGTAGTTTTTGAACATTTGCACACTGTTGTTTTTTTATATGAATTTAACCAAAACTATAAGAGCTGTCATTAAATATTCCCCTTAAGCTTTCTTTAATAGTGCAATGCCAGTTAAACAGGACATATGTTGAATGCAGCCACAGATGTAGAAGATGTGACTTTCAAACAATTAAAATTGTTCATTATTCACCCTGATGCTACAAGTGTTTTGTGCAATTATGTGAGTCAGGTAAGACATGACTCCTTGCATATCACAGCATGAACTTTAAGAGTATAGACATGTCATCCCAAATGTTTCACTTCAATACTGCAACTAATATCAAAATATGTAACATTGTAACACAAAGTTTCACTGTTCTGGACACCTAATGCTGACAGAAAAACAATCTCACCATACTTACTTAGATGAGTCCAAACAAACCTAAATAATGTTTACATGCAGATGCTAGGGAGAGGGGGAGGGTTGTTTCGGTTTGGAGGGTGGGTGTTAACAGTAAAATTATACCACTAATCCCAAAGAGAACAATGATAATGGGGATATATTTTAGTATATTGAAATTGGTTAGTACAGAGAATAAAGTATATTGAGGATATATGTTCCTTTGTATAAAATTTAAATTTAAATTTCAAGTAAATTTGTGACCATTGTTCGACCAATACTTAAGATTTCTTAAAATATACTAGGTTCTTCAATTTTGAAAGACTTATTAGCATCGCTTTAAAACGGGTATAATATAATGTAAAATAACAAGACTACAGGAATTTGTAATGATTTACTGAAATCTGGAAAGAACTGGTACACTCGTGAGTATGGCGAGTATTACTGATAGGCACGGGGAATCATATAGCCATGACCTTAACTTCTGTAGGTTTTATTTGACCATGTCCCACAATATAGAAACATAAAGTTGTTTCTGTTTTCACTTTTCAGGACTTTATAATGTAATTTAAGTCACTCACATTGATTTCAATAGTTGGTGCTTGTATGGCATCAGTTTTGCTAATAGCCCACTAAAACAAACAGGAGATCTCAGGATCTAGTTCCTATGAGACAACTAGTGATTGTCTTCTATCACCTCGATTATAATTAAGAGAATAAGTAGCCGAAAGAGTATCACTGATTATTGCTTTCGATAGATCAAAACTGGGAGCCAAAGCGATCTCCTTAAAAGACTGAACTAAAGCAACAACCTTCTGATAGCATTATTCTAGAGAGCTTTCTTTGCTCTAGCACCAGCAACTGTACAAGCTGGATTTTCTCTTTAATAGGATCAATTCTCATCTCCAGCTAGGTCATTACTTACTATTAATTGAACACGCTCAGTGTGCACGAAAGTTACCGCCTCTATAAACATTCTTCCTTCAACAAAGACTGCTTAGAACTTAACACAATGGAGAGGAACATTAACAAATCTGAACTCTACACCCTAAATGAGTACACTTTCACTAGAAGACTTTATCACTTCATAATCGCCACTTTATCTTAACGAGAGTCTACACTTCACAGACTTCACTAGCTTTGCCATTAATTACACTTTCCAATACTCTCGACCATTTCGAATTTTCAGCCATGTTCTCAAAACAGTGTAGCTATTTTTGTACCTCCTTTTCTTTAAAAGATGGTGCCAACCTAATATGTTTGACATTATCAAAGCCTGAACTGGTGAATATGTGAGTGTGATTTATTTGTTATAATTCCTTTAATTTAACAGTATTTGCCCTTGCTCTTCTCTGTTCATTTGCATTTCCCTCTCTTCCTTCTCTCGTGGCATTTCCATCTCTTTTGCATTGGCATCTCTCTCTCTCTCTCTCTCTCTCTCTCTCTCTCTCTCTCTCTCTCTCTCTCTCTCTCTCTCTCTCTCTCTCTCTCTCTCTCTCTCTCTCATGCAATTGCATAACCTATCTTCCTTTTGTTTTTTCATTTGCATTTTCATTTCCCTCTTTTCCTTTTCTCTGTGCATTTGCATTGCTCTCTCTCTCTCTCTCTCTCTCTCTCTCTCTCTCTCTCTCTCTCTGATCTTTTTGTATATGTATCTCGTCCTTTTCTTTTTTGCATTTGTATCTGAATATTTTGCATTTGCAATTTATGCTGAAGCTGAACCCTTCAGAACTTAGCTGTCATATGGTTTCTTAACTGTGATTCCCATAATTTCCTGTCCGAACCAGATGGAGACTTCTTAATCAAACCCAAAACACTTTGATGACGAACAACTTTGTTAACCAAATAATCTGTAAAAATATTGTTGATTTCTTGCTTCGTTGAAAAAGCCTTCGCTTTAGAAAGAAGATAATGCTTGGCAAGCTCAAGTAACTCGTGCGTAGGATTTGCAATAATGCTACCTACATTAGATGTCATGATGAAAGTGTTGGTCTCACTATAAATCTCCGAAATATGATAAACTAAAATATCAGAGACTAAGGAAAGTTCAGAGTGAACTTTAAATTGAAAAAAAACATCTGTAATCTCTCAGAAATATTAAAATCCGGAAATATTCAAATCAAATTAAAACTCCGAAAAACCGGTGGTTAGAGCGTCTGCCTCTGATGCAGGAGGTCGCGGGTTCGAACCCCGGCTGAATCATACCAAAGACCTTTAAAATGGTACTAACAGCTGCCTCGCTAGGCGCTCAGCATTGAGAGGTTAGTGTTATGACTGGTGTCAGGATAATGTGACTGAGGGGGGGGGGACATTTTTCTGCGTATCTGCGGAATTATGCCCCAGTACATAAACCGCCACACTACAGACATCATAGCGATATAACTGAAAATGTGTAAAAGCTACGTAATAAGTCCAGATTTCACAAACACGCACAAAATCGACGATATATTACAGAAGTAGCGGGAAGGGGGCACTTTAGCAACAATGGGATCCTAATGTTAAAATAGGGGTTTTGCGCTTAAGCGACGCTGGGAATTTAACATGGGAATCACACCTGGGGGTCAGTGAAAATTGAATATTGGTGACGTCACGGGGTTTATAGGGTCAAATCTATAGGGTGAAATGCATTTATATGGACAAACATAGACATACAGAAACAAACATACATCATAACAAAGATGAAAACGCACAGAAAAGAGGACAAATGTTCCCAAGAAGGACTCGCAGATAGAATAGAGAATCGAATCCTAAACAAGGTCAAGTCCAATGTACAATGTTACATTACAATAGCATGTAATGGAATAAAAATTAAAACTAACAAACAACTAAATTAAAGATACACAACACTTTTCCCTCGTAAATAAAAACAGATTTATACAACAAAGCTTTATTTTTGCTATAAATCAAATATGCATGTGGTAAGAGAAAACATAAGATGAACTCGTATGAATGACAAAATATACACGAAACCATATATTTCTATACACGTGAAAGTGCATTTGCAATTAACTTGTCTTTTTCCCTTCATATGTCTGATTTCAATATTATATTCCTGTAACAACAAAATCGATCTTAATAATCATTGACATTTGTTTTTATCTTACCCGCTGAAAGTAATGGTGTTGTGATCACTAAACAATAATCGTTGAAGGAGCTGAACTAAAGTAAACTTCAAAGTGTTGCAATGCCAATATTGAAGCCAAATATTTCTTTTCGATTGTGGAATAATTTTTCTAGTGCTTATTTAATTTCTTAGAAAAATAGCGCACTGGATAATCAACACCTTTTTTATCTTCTTGAATCAATACTGCTACAACCCCATCACTTGCATGAAAAGATAGTTTAAATGATTGAAATTTGGAGCTGTAAGAACCGGTGTAATCTTAAGTATGGCCTTTAACTTACCAAAGGTCTGCTGACATTTTCAGACCAATGAAACTTGGATTTCTTGCTCAATGAAGTCACATCAGTTGCTTTTTACTAGTAGGCACAGGGAATTCAGCATTTATAGGTCTAACTTGTCCATTTCCCACGATATGTCCTAGAAATGTTACACAAGCACGGCAGAACTCACTTTTGGATAAATTGATTATCAAATTTGCATCAGTGAGAATGTCAAAGAATTTCCTAATTGTCGCTAAATCTTCTTTCCAGTTGTCATTGTACATAAAGACATCATCGATGTAAGCATCGCAATTATCTAGACCAAATCTAATCATATCAATTAAACGCTGAAAAGTACTTTGAAAACCATTCATCCCAAACAGCATCACTTTATGTTGATAGTGTCCTTCTGGAGTTACGAACGCCGAAATTTCCTTTGCCCTTTCCGTAAGTGGAACTTGCCAAAATCGTTTCAGAAGGTCAAATTTGGTGATATACTTGGCATTTCAAATTTTATCAATGTTTTCGATTCTGTTTTAGTCGCACTGTTCACCTTTCTATAATTAGTACACATGTGGAAACTGTCATCTGGATTCGGAACAAGTATAGATGGTGAACTCCAGTCACTTTTACTCGGCTCTATAAAATCATTTTCCGGCAAACACTGCATTTCTTTTGTCAAGTATTCCTGTTTGAGAGGGTTCATCCTGTACGGGTGATTTTCATAGGTTTGGAGTTTACAATTTCAACGTAGGAACATCTGGAAATAATTGTTCATATTCAAGTAATAACTGTTGAAGTTCATTTCTTTCTTGTTGTTGCAAACGTGAAAGTTTCTGGTCCAGATTATTAATAATTATTAAATTCCGAAGATTTGTTATAATTCCTTTAATTTAACAGTATTTGCCCTTCTTGCTCTTCTCTAGTTAATAGAGTCCGATTGCATTCCATCGCTTAAATGATCACTAAGTGGGACAGGCACAAATAAATTAATTACATGTTAACCTGGCTATCTCTCGCAACTTACTGGTATTCCTTTAGTTTATTTATATCCCAGGAGTACTATTATCATAATTTAACTCGTCTTATTAATACCGTAATACCTAATCTGTAGAAAATTTCGAAGAACGAACAAGGCCGATACAACTCTATTAGCAGGCTCAAAAGTTCTCTCCATTGTAGTTATGTCAAGCCATATTTTCACTTTTGACTTTAATTGCTTGATGCCAAATTCAATGGCTGGAAAATTGACTGGAACATTGCTGACATTCAATTTGACCCAATCAGACTGGACAGATTTTAGAAGACAAATTGAGTATAAAAAACAACAAATACTTTATCAAAGATTTTTTTATTGTTTAATATTTCTTCATAATTCTCCATAATAATAATATCAGACTGGGGTTTATTAGACCCAACAAGTGTATTGCTTTCAATACATGACCTTGCCCTTGCCCTTTTAAAAATAAGAGCACTTGGAATAGGTCTTACTTCTGATGCTTACTTTTCGATTTGAAGCAATCAAAAATAACGCGTCCTTTCTTGCAATAAGTACAGGTAGGAAGAGATAAAGATTTCTGATCAAGCTGATTAGAAACTTGATTATAAAAGTTGTGCCAGATTGAAATTTATAAGGGCTCGTATTATGCTAAAATATGTTGTTTTTCTTTGTTTTTTGTGATCCTTCAACGTGCAGGTATCCCAAGTATATACTCAATCCTAGGCATCGTACGTGGAAGGAGTTTAGTTGACGTTCTTGCTAAGCTTATTAAAAAAAAATTAATAAAATAAAATAAGTAATCATTGGCTAAAAAAAGCACTAACGGCAATGAAAATACTTATTTGTAATTTGAAAAAAGTTACTTAAATTATCATGAATGCTTCAAACTTTTTTATATTTGCGTTGTTCCAGTACTGAATTAATTATCATATATTTGATTTTCACCAAGCTAACGCACTGCTCCAGTGGACTAGTGGTTAGAACAGGTTGTTTTGTTTGTTTTTTTAAACGAATAAATAACTTTAGAAAAAATTTGTTTTGGTTAAATGTGGATGTTCCTAGAATCATAAATTGTCACAATTTTTTTTCTTCAAATTTTTAAACAATTGGTTACTTATGCTTCAATGTTAGACTAATTAATTACAAAAATTGTGTATATTTGTCCATCTTCTACGTTTCAGCTTTTGATCATTACCGTTGCATATCCTGCATACAACATTTGATAACCACGCAATATTTGTAATGTGTATTCTATAGGCAAGGAAATACTACTAATAAAATATTGAGCTGAACTGAATATCTGACTAATATCGGCTTTCAATTGATCTCTTTTTGGTGTTTGTTTTAATATATATATATATATATATATATATATATATATATATATATATATATATATATATATATATATATATATATATATATATATATATATATATCTTGGGTTTTTTGTCCCATTCTATTCATTTCTCGCTTCCAGAATAACATTTCAAAAATACGCACAATGAATTGGTTGACAGTACAACACAACCTACATCGAGCTTCTTGAAATTATTTATGTTATGAGTTTACTAGACGAGGTTTAGTCACAGTAACAGCCAAATAATATTTTTTTCAAACAAAAAATTTATTTTAAATGGTATGATTTCGTTCCTGTATGAAACAAGAAACAAAAGCAATCATCATAATCATCGTCATCATCATCGCAGTCGTAATAGTAGTAGAAAAAAATACTAGATGAAGTTGTAGTAGCATTAGTAGTAGTTTTATTGCAAAACAACTCCTATTAAGTAAGAGAGAGAGAGAGAGAGAGAGAGAGAGAGAGAGAGAGAGAGAGAGAGAGAGAGAGAGAGAGAGAGAGAGAGAGAGAGAGAACGGATTTTACCTTTGAAGGCACGACATGACCGAGTACTTACAAATGCACCAAGTATACAGAGCTCGTCTTTATTTCACACTTGTTTACATACAATACGATATGAAAAGTTCATGATACAACTTAACATAACAACAAACATGTACATGACGTCAATAACATCCTTGTTACATTATATAAATGATAAAGCCAGAGTTCAGTAATCTCGTGGCTTATAGCAGATCATAGATGACAATAAATATACTTAATGTGGATGGGTCTAGAGGAAAAAACCCAGACATAATTTGACAGACCCGTCGTGTGTGTGTGTGTGTGTGTGTGTGTGTGTGTGTGTGTGTGTGTATATATATATATATATATATATATATATATAGAGAGAGAGAGAGAGAGAGAGAGAGAGAGAGAGAGAGAGAGAGAGAGAGAGAGAGAGAGAGAGAGAGAGAATCAACGATATTTTCAAATTTGTGGTTTTGCAAAACCGGTTGACTAGTGGATGTTCTGTTACAGGCGTCTGCCTCAGATCATGTTTATAGACACGTAACTGGGAAAAATCTATGGTATTTGTAACTGAAGGTATTACGACAGCATTTAATGAATCGCACAGAAGACACAACTGTACATACTAATAAACGCTGACAATCCTTTAAGTGTGGTAAATGCACGCCTCGAGTTGATGCATTTGAGATCAGTGATTCAAGGTCATAACAATACACTAATGCTATTACACAGAAATTTATAAGGTTCGTTATTCTGTTTATGCGAATACTAAAAAGTAACAAAATATTAGTGAGGAATTACGTTTTCTTGTCGTCTTTATTAAAAATCGTTCTACTTTACTCATAGAACTTATCAACATACTCATAAATTACACTTCCATGAATATAAAACAAATGCTGCTAGGTCATAAATAGATAAATATTTCTGTTGCCTTTACGCGCCTCGTTA